AAACCCTAAACCCCTAAACCCTAAACCCTAAACCCCGGACTCAACTGCGAGGAGGAAAAGGGCCGTTCAAAAAACAAAATCCCTGAACCCCTTAAGCCTTAACCGCTCACTGCAAGCAATGAAACCCCAGAGCCTTAAAAAGACAACCCGAGACCCGAAACTGCCAGGCGCGCCTTCAAAAACAGCTAAGGGGGCCCCATCTTCCCAAAATTTAGGGTTTTGCCTTTTTCCCAAAATTTAGGGTCTGGGGTTTTGGGTTTAGGGCCCATCTTCCCAAAATTTTGGCTTTGGGGTTTTGGGTTTAGCGCCCATTTTCCCAAAATTTGAGGTTTTGGGTCCTTCAGAAGACATGGAGAAGTTTTACGAAACAAAATCGGTTGCAGGCTCCAGTCCGGACAGCATACTTCCGGGCATGGAAAAGTCCACGACCGACTCCTGAGCTACATGAGGTTCCTTAACGCTGATTTTCGTCGTCTTTGGCCAAGCCTTGTTGGTGCTTCTGGGCATTCTTGGCACACTGACGGCAAGCCATGACCCTCGGCCGCAATTCCCGCGACAGATGCCTGCTATTCTTGGTCTTGCTGTCCCTCGCGCATTCTTGTCTCCGATTTCGTCCCATCGTGAGTTTGCTTGTGTAGCGATTCATGCTCCCTATATATGTTCAGAGTTGCTTCTGTGTCTTTGTTTTCTGGAAGGTGTCACTTGCTCACTTGCAGTGTTCGTACTTTACCATCAGTCTGTTTCATCCCGAAGTACTTGTCATTGCATACCGCAAAATCTTAGTGCAGATACGACCTATGGAAAGCCTTCTGCATTCCGAAGTCGCCCTACTGCAGTTGTTCGCTATTAGGCAGTGTGGGCTCTCTCTGCGTTCTGTCTGGACGCTGCATCCCACCTTGCTTCAGGCTCTGTGTCATTCCGGGCCGCCCAAGCCAGCTGGCACGCCGCTCGCGCCGGCTCCCGCGGAAGAAGTGAAGCCCAAAGTCAGAGCCATCGTTTGAAGGCTGGCTAAAAATCGCTCCATGACGACATCAAGTATCATGGTGATAGTGTCAGTTTCTCCTAGCGTGGGCTGGACAAGTTTGACACTTATTGTACACTTCTGAGACGAAAGTTTGGGTAAACGAAGTAAGCCCAGGAACAGTTCTAGCCGCATTGGTCATGGTCTTAGTCAGTCTCAGCACAAGCACGGGAGGTAGAGGCCAGCACCCCTTTCAATTCATGTGTCAGCGGCAGGCGATCTAATTGGGGCTCCACGTGGTGCCAAGTAGGTGCTGCAAACGGTGAACTCTGTGACTCTACAATATCCCACACCTGAATCGTATTCAACGATCAATTTGGCTATCAAACTACATCTCCTGTCGATAAGTCAGCTCCCCTTTGGGGCAGGGTTGTCAGGTTATTCTCCACTTTGCCGGGCTGGGGTGTTTCGGGTCTCAGAGAAATGAGATATACTCCAGCATTGAAAGCGCTGTAATGAAAGCAAGCGGCACCTCTAGAAACACGCGACTTGTTCATCAGACCTAGGAAGATACCTTAATTCAAGGACAGCGTCTCACACTGCAAGACCACAACAAACCTATTGGCGTGCGACCTGCACCTCCGCAAAATCTGATGGAGCGACTGCGGTTTGCAGCTGAAATTCTGGCATGCAGGTAGTTTCTGGGCGGAGAGGCAAGACAAAGGTAGCCACCCGGAATACCTACTGCTTACCCCTCTCGGGACCTCCATGCTGTTCACTTCCACATCAAGCAAACGCGTGAAGTTACATACCAACCCAAAACCGACAAGACATGGGAAATGGGACGCACTTTGACTCCGACAGGGTCCGTGGACCAGCAATGACGTAGTGTTGTTGTAGCCAACGCAATTTGTCAATGTGCAGCCAGGGACTCCTTCTCCGTACTCCTGCTCCTCCGGCTGCTGCTACCCTGATACTACTGCGCTTTCACAATAACAGTAATGGGTACCATGTTATCATGCTTAGAGTGCTGAAAAGTCCTGCACATAAACAGCAGGTCTCATAGTCGTAGTCATACTTGTAGTCATTGATACATGAAGGAGTCCCAAGCCCTGAGAGCCAAACCCGAAAGCCCTACACTTGCCCAAACTCTACATCCCGTAAGGTCCACAGACCGGAATCCTAAAATGAACCCTAAACCCCAAACCCTCAACCCTAAACCCCTAGACCCTAAAACCCGACCCGCAGGTTATTTATGTCGCACCGCTGCACCTAGATGACGCAGTGGCTCTGCAGCACGGTCTATCCGATGACCTGATTGTGCTCTCCAACTCCGTCTTCGAGGAGATGCTGTCAGAATGGCGGGAATTCAAAAAGCAGGCCCAGGCTGCACCAAGCAACAATCAAGAGAAATGAGGCTGGGTCATCAAGACAAAGGAGGCGTGCTCCTCTTGAACGGCCACTGGCTCCATCAATACAGGCTCAAGATGCCTGACAGCCTGAGGACTTCCGCCAAAGGACTTGCGATTGAGGACTTGCGTGAACGCACATCCGATGTGTTTTGAACGGGCTGGCACATATGATTCCTGTTGGTTTCGGTCTTTCCATCGTAATGGCCAAAAACCTTTTCCACTCTTGCTTGTTGAAACTACTTTTGCGGAGCACCGCATGCCGCCACTTAAATCAAAAACTTGCGAGGGCATGTCAATGTGGGAAGCCCAGCAGTCTTGATGCCTTTCAGGCCAGCACGCGCCCAACACATGTCACATATGCGTTTCTAGCCTGCATACTTGTTCGTGAGTCTGCTGTGTACACAACATCGGCAGTGTCCTTCGGAGAAGCATCGCTTTTCGTCTTTGGGCGATATTGCTTGGACTGCTTTGCTGGATGCCGCTGTGTTGGCTTTTTCATTGTTAGTTGGACAATATTGTTTCGAGCGTCGCTCTCACGACATACTTGTCGGATGATGTTGCCTTGGCTGCTCTAGTTTTGCCTGACTTCGTTGCTTTCACATTACACCATTGGTCATGCTCTGCAAGTTTGCGGTTGCCTTCATGAACTATTTACAATCCAGAGCAGACAGTGAGTGCGCCGCCGGAATACGCACTGCACTTGCTTTTTCACCGGCAATTGATGCGCTGCATGCGTCTGGGCTTCCGCTCCTTGCAGAGCTGGGATCTTATTGTTGCGATTATCCCGTCAGCGGCAGAAGTGCACAAGGTTGCAAGTTTGCTTGTTGGCACAATAGAGTGAAGGAGGTTGCAAGTTTGCTTGTTGGCACGGTAAGAAGTGAAGGAGGTTGCAAGTTTGCTTGTTGGCACGGTAAGAAGTATGTATGGATTTGTTGGTTATTTGGGGTTTCTTGGGGAGGGATTGTCGTAACAAGGGTGGTCAAAGCACCGCCGCGCCGAGGCACCTGGTATCATAAGTGGCCTTAACTTGTTTGTTGCGCTGTTGTTGACCACTGGGTGCCTGTTTAGTAGTGAACTGTGGGAAGTAGCCATGTACCTTGATCTTTCCCCTGCTGGTATGCACCTGGTAGGGAACCTTTTCGGTCGGTGGAGCTCTGAGCCTGTGCTGCGTGGCATTACCTTGGTGTTGTGTTGTTTTCTGGCGAAGGCTTGAGCGAAGCTGACAGTAGTACCGACGCGCACCGAGAACCTCGTCTGGCTTGTCCGAGTTGCGAGAGCGTAAAACCCCTAAACCCTAAACCCTACCCGAACCCCTTGGAAGCACAGTTCTCCTAAAAGCCAGCGTGTGAGCTGTCCAACGTGGCCAAGCGGGTCTTCGGACCTGCCATGCGGGAGCCGACAAATCCCTCTCAGAACCAGCAAAGGAACCCTTAACGATAGCCGTCCTCGATGAAACCCTCTGCACCCCGAATCCCGTCATCCCAAACCCGAATCGCCATAGAATCCTTGAAGGAATGCTCAGGGAACCGTCTAAGCACCCTTAACCCCCAAACCCAAGGACTCCTCTAAAAATCCTAAACCATCTAAACCCTAAACCCTCTAAAAACCCTAAACCCTAAACCCTCTAAAAACCTTATATAACCCTAAACGCTTTAAAAGCCCTACACCCTATAAACCTTAAACCCCCTTAGCATCATCCAGATGTGCCTGAGCCTCCATGGCCTCGCTGCGAGAGCCTCTTTGCACCCACCGAGCCCGAGCCAACGGCGAAGCCGAGGCTCTCTGTTTTTTTGATTTTTTTTAGCAGGATTTTGGGGGTTCCTTTTTATGATTATACTGTAATATACCTCCAAACCCTATTGCAGTTAGAACAGGATTTTGGGGCTTTCCAAAAATTAGGGGTACCTTATTTGGGGGGTCCTTATAATAAGGACACTACGAGTTAGGGTGCTGTATTAGGGTCCCCTATTTCGGAAACTCCCACTTTGGGGGCTCCTTGTTATGAGTATATATACTATAATATACCGATATTGTAGTTATTGAGGCATGGTTTTCGTTTGTTTACCCCAAAACTCCAAGTATGCAAGTACCCAGAGATTCCAATATCCCTTAATTAAGGAATATACCTTAAGTTATAGTAGTATCACCAATATGACATAAGGTATATTCCTTCATTAAGGGATAAGAGATATTGGAGTCTGGGATATTGGAGTCTCTGGGTAGTACCTACTTTGGGGTCTAAAGTCCATACGTCTACCTACTTTGGGCGATTTGGAGCGCCAGGTTTAGGGTTTGAAGATGTTCAGGGTTTTACGGCACAAGAGCTTAACAGGGAAACTGAGGCTTTGTGGAGATGTTTGTAGGGTTGAAGAGTTTAGAGGCTTCACGCTCTGGGGGTTAGCGGATTTGAGTTTAAGGATATGCAGCAGCAGAAGTAGTCATCGCCCGGATAGCATATATTATAGGACTTAACGAGAGAATGCAGCACGCTGGTACCTGTAGCAGTTGCGATTTACAGTGGTCACAGAAGTACCTTCAGCTTCATTGCCACTGGTAATGCATACATCGCACACCACTACGGCTGCAGTCAGGCAAATCATGATAATCGTACATGTTGCTCGGATCAGGGATCCTCTCCGCGTCAACTCCACTCAGACGGCACAGTGCTGGCCTTGTCGTGCTGGCGGCCGCGGCAGGAGTGCGGCGGAAGTCCTGCAGGCAGCGACTCGCATGCTTGCTTGGTTTGAGTCGTAGTTCCGTAGCCAAAACATTTTTCAATTCGTGGTTAGTGCTGTTTGAGGAGATAATGAAGTAGTCGTGGTCGCCGTCTCCGTCGTAGTAGTTGTAGTAGCAGTAGCCGTAGCCGTAGCAGTATAGCAGTAGCAGTAGCAGCTTTTGAGCTTTGCAGGCAGAGAAAGAGATCCATCCGCCCAGCGTCGGGTATGAGCAGGCTACCATCGGTCGCCCGGAACTTGTGTTCATGACCATTTGGCCATCTCCAATCTACGAAAATCGGCACGCACCGTTCCGAAGAACAAATGAGCATGCGTGCCGTCCAGCTGCTAATGCACAGAAGGTGGTAAAGCTTTCTGGCAACAGTAGAACAGAGCATAGCAGGATTTACGTTGTGAACCCGTCATAGCAGCTCTTCGACGTGCCGCTCGATTGTCGTCACAACTCCAAAATGCATCCTGCACCAGTGTGGCATTATAGTGACCCGCTGCTGGTGTATTGCCATGATGTTCAATGAAGGCACACAAGCTGTAAGTCTCATGTCGAACCTCAAAAGTAGGCCCATGAAGTACTGGAACACGTATGGTTGCATCAAGCTGTACCTGCATATGATTTTTGACAACGTGACCTGATCTTCTGTGTAGCAGTAGCAGTAGGAGTAGTAGTAGTAGTAGTCGTCGTCGTCGTCGTCGGGGCGGAATGGGTAGAGCAGGCATTCTGCCCGGTGCCGTATGGCACACAGCATATTGCTGCTTCGTGAGTACACACATGGTCATGGTCAGCAGAAGCAGAAGCAGAAGTAGCAGCAACGGTAACAGTAGCAGTAGCAGTAGCAGCAGCAGCAGCAGGAGTAGGAAGAGTAGGGGCACAGGATCCGGCCTTGGTTCAAAGTACTAGTAGGACAGGAGTCGTCGTCATCGTCGTGGCTTTTGCAGCCTTGCGCAACAGGCTGGCTCAGGCGGAAGATGCTGAGACTGTGCAATCGGCTTTAGCAGCTCGGACCCTGAACAATTGCAACAGAACGAACGGCAGCAGAGACAACAGCATGAGCAACAACGAACGAAAGCGACGACTACCTACACGATTTGAGGATACATGTTTAGTCCTAATAGCGGTTAACTCCTACGATGCCGATGTTCCGGTGCTCTTACTATTACAGCTAGCAGCACCACTACCGCTACGAGCGTAGACAAACCACAAAGTCTACAACTACCGATGCAGCTACAGTTCCAACGGCGACTGCTATCACTGCTGCTGCTCCGGCTACTGCTACCCCTACTCCTGCTCATACTTCTGCCGCCAGCTCACTTGCTACTTTTGCCACTGGCTACTTATAAGGCAGTAGTAGAAGAAGTGGTATTAAGACTACTACCACAACGGAATAAGACTCCGACTGCCTTATCGTTCCAATGCCGTTACACTCGTTGCCAAGGTGACATGTATGCTTCTTCTATCTGCATGTTTGTCGGCGCCGCCGGCTTGAGGTCGATGGCTTCATTGCCCAAACTGTCCATCCATTGGTTTACGTGCTGTCATGCACAGTTGATGTTCTTACTGTTCCGAAAATAGACATAGACAGGAATGTGGGTGATCCCTACGCTTCCAGATTCCTAGCATGGTGCACCCCAAGTTGGTGTCCACTGAGGAGCGCAAGGCGGATGCAGTCCTGGAGAAGGTGAACATCAAGGTGCCCGTTTGGGCGGCAACGAACATTAGTGGTCCAACTACTACGAAATCTGGTGTCTGCAATGAAGCCTTTGTTTGTGCACTGCACGGCAGCTGAACCTGTAGTCCTCCACATGCCAGAGGTGGCCAGAGCCCGTAAACCAGCCACGGTAGTAGAGTAGGTAATTTTGAACCTTTTTTGGGTAGTATAGCCCCTATATAAGCCCTATAAAGCCCTATATGACCAAAAAGGTTAACCTTTAGTTCCCCATGATACCCGACAAGTAGGTAGCCTTAAACCCAAAGCTCTGGGTCAATGAGCTGGTGAGCTTGGCTAGTGCTCGTCGTCGTCATGCTTGGATCCTCGCCCGACTCTGCCTGGCTGTGAACCCTATGCAGCCTTGCCTGCCTTGTGCGAGTGTGAGCGTCGAAACCGCGAACCTCTTACTGCAGACCTTGCCAGGCTTGTCCGAGTGTGGGTGTCAAAAAACCGCCAAGCTCGACCTCATGAATCCGTGCCTGCGCTTGTGCGAGTGGAGACATGTGGAGACCGCCATCCTGTACCCTGAACTGAAAATTAAGCTCTCATCCTTGCCAAGTGCTGGCCGAAGTGGCAACAGGCCCCCTAGCCAACACCTTAGACAGCCCTTGTAGTTCCTATATATATATATATATACACACATATATACACACACACACACACACTTTTGGTCTCTAATAGACCCCAAAACATTTATACTTACTATAGTATAATATACCCTGAACCCCTACTTGCTTCGGTCTCTGTTGCAAGTTGTCGTTTAACTTGTTTAACTTCGGCGGCGACAAAGCATCCGGCTTCCGGCCCCCCGAGGGACCTGGAATAGAGGTAAACTGAAAGCGCCGTGCGTGTGAGGGAGGAGTGTACGGGGGAAAAGCCGAAGCTGCACGCGACAGCGGACACCCCGCGGGAACTTACCCGGGAGCCTCCACGGGAACGTCCACGGGAACGTCCACGGGAACCGCCGCGGGAAGGGCCGCGGGAAGGAAAATTCCAGTGTACAATTTAGACAGGTAGTGTACAATTTAGACAGGTAGAGAGCAACCTACCGGAGATCAATCACTTTCCCCAGTCACACACTCAGTCGTCCAGTCTTGAGCCAATGCCGAATCCAGTCTTGAGCCAATGCCATTCGGCATTGTTGCGTTCATTCAGTCTTGAGCCAATGCCATTCGGCATTGTTGCATTGTCAAGATCAAGGGACTGTGTTAAATCAGCATCGTATCATATGTATCATATAAAGGGCGTATCATATGTGTCATAGAAAACAAGGGGATTCAGAAGGTTCGGAGGTATTCCCGGTGGTGCATATAAAAACCAGGTATTCCAGGGTTCGGAAACCCCCCGGTATTCCAGAACCCGGAACCGGAACCTGCCCCTGAGCCGCGTCCCGCAGCCAGGAAACAAGACTTTGCCGGAAAGTCTGCTCCGTAGAAAACGACAGTATTTAAACCCGAGTAAGGTATTTGAAGTATTCGTAAATGCCGAGTAACATGAACATCTGTGAGTAGTCCAAAATAGAGTATTCTCCGTCGGAGCAAAATTAAAGTATTCGTAAATGCTGGTAAACAACCTCTGATCCCGCTTCCTTCATCTGGAGTCAAGAGTCAAGTAAAGTACTAGAGTTCAGTAAAGCATTTGCTGAGGCCGAGTACAGTAAATATGTTCCACTATACTACCACGAGCAATTGTACCGCTACCACTACTCCTCTTGGTCCCCAAAGGTACATCTTATTAAATATTATAGAATGACCCATTTTTTGAAACCTTGGATTCAGACTTCATTGCCCTCCCTGCGTCTTATGTGCGGCGTTGGCCACGGTCGATCTCATCCTTGGCGGGGGCCCTCAGGCCACGCGTCAGATAGCCCGGCTTCTAGTCTTGTAGTCTTAGAACTTACTGAAGAGGTCATAGGGCTAGGGTTGCGCCTTAGTTGGCGATAGGGTTGCGCCTTAGTCGGCGATAGGATACGGTTGCGCCTTAGCTTTAGTCGGCGATAGGGTTGCGCCTTAGTCGGCGGTAGGATAGGGTTGCGCCTTAGTCGGCGGTATAGGATAGGGTTGCGCCTTAGTCGGCGATAGGATAGGGTTGCGCCTTAGTCGGCGATAGGTAGGATAGGGGTGCGCCTTAGTGGGCGATACGGTTGCGCCTTAGTCGGCGGATAGGGTTCCAATAGCTTTGGGGGCTGGCCTATATGCCCTAATACTTTATAAACCCCAAACCCTAAGGCTGTGGGAATTGGGATATCGGGGCTGAGGGATTAGGTAATGATTAGGGGAATGCTTCTAAGGCTTCTGGATTTTTCTAGGGTTCAGGTCAGACCAGGAATTTGGGTTTCGGGTGATCGGTCCTTGGACCTGCAGGCAAACCCTGGTGTCGCCATATAATATATCCCAAATCCAAAACCCTAAACTGTAAATCCCTAAACCCCTACCTCAACCCTGTCCTGCGCCCGAAAACCACCTGAAAGACCCTAAACTCCTCACCAGGTCCAGGAGGGAATCGCAACACGGCGCTCACTCTGGGCGTCCTCTCCCCAGAAATTCCCTCTCCGATCCTGTGTCAGGGTTTTCCTGGCTTGGGTTTTTTTTTCTTCTGGGAGCTATTCAGGTGCGGGACACACGTTTGTTCTTAGGAATGGGCGTCCGTCTCAGGTATCTAGCAACTTCGATTTCTGCAAGTTGGACATACCCAATCCCTACGTTGTCAATTCGCTACAGCTGGGGAATCCACTTAGGGTTTATGTACTTTAGGAGTCCGGAATCACCGCATCTGGCGACGGTGCATAAGCCCGTCTAGAAGAAGCTATGCGTGGCCGAGGCCAGACAAGTGGCTACAACTTCAACGATCGATGGAGGACCGAGGGGCCTTAAATGGTGAGAGTAAGGTTTTTGGGGTATGTTATACTATAACCATAGTAAGGAACCCCCACGGTAGTGTTGGTCTTTGGCCCCTTGTTTGCCTACCCCAGTCCAAGTGATTGTACGGCTTGTCCATCCCAGTATCCCCAAACCCGAAATTCCCAAAAACCTTGTATCCCTGCATCCCTGCAAATGAATCCCCAAGCCCCGCCAACCCGAGCCCAACACCAGCAAACCCTCAACCTAAAACCTAGGACCCTGAAGATCCTAAACCCTAAACCCTAAATTATGCTGACCATCGAAGGGCAGAACTCTGCTCTCACTGACAGCCGATGGACCCTGTGCACCGTACCCACTTCAGGAGCCTTAAAATCCTTCTGTGCTTGCATTCGTCATTATAACGCACAGTCCCCTTGCAAAAGAAACAGTGTTGAACCTCCAACCCTGAACCCCCGAATCTCTCAAGTAAATCGAAAGCCTCTACGCGGCCAAAGCACTGTGTCATAGACGACGATTTCGCGAAACGGCTTCTTCAACTCCGTGACCCTGCCCAGCAAGATGACTCCGATTTAACCCGAATGCCTGAAACACATTCCGACTTGACATGCCCCGAATGTGATCACAGCCATCACTATCAGAAGTAGGTGTCGCAGCCTCACAAGCGTAACAATAAGATCCCTTACTGTCCGTTCTCGCCCTGCGTCGTGCGATGGACTGGCGCACGTGGCGGCAATTGGCCCACGGTGGCCATCGCGGCGGTTGGCAGGCAGCTGGCCTGGCACCACGAGAGCCAAGACAGGCCGCTTCGGTTCAGGGTTTTTCAGCCAAAATCCTCCCCCTGAATGTAGTGAGGTTCAGCGGCCTTCCGGAGCTGGAGCAGTGGTGCCTCCGAGACCTCAGGCAGCTCAAAGCTTCGATTGGAAAAGTTACATCCTGAGCCATTCAAGCAAACCCTCCATATCTGCTAATTATGGACTTTAAGCTGAAGCTTCATTCTTCCCAGAAACGGGTTGCACAGGTGGCACCATCCGCAGCTGGCGCTTTCTCGGAGGAGATGCTGGAGGCATCGTGCAGCAGGCTCCTGGATGCTGCAGCGCAGGAGCTCTGCGTGCAGACCATGACCGAGGCCAGTTCAGGGTGTTGAGGGATCGGGGGTTTGTTGGCGGTCATTGGTCATCCCCTGTTCCAATCCCATACAGGGCTTCAGGGTTGGCCTGGCTATCTACGGTTTGTCGAGCTGCCTACATGCCTGCGTGCAGGTGCTCATGGAGCAGAGGCAGCAGGAGGAGATGCTGGAGGCATCGTGCAGCAGGCTTGTGGATGCCGCAGCGCAGGAGCTCACGGTGCAGACCATGACCGAGGCCAGTTCAGGGTGTTGAGGGATCGGGGGTTTGTTGGCGGTCATTGGTCATCCCCTGTTCCAATCCCATACAGGGCTTCAGGGTTGGCCTGGGTTTGTCGAGCTGCCTACATGCCTGTGTGCAGGTGCTCTCAGAGCAGAGGCAGCAGCTGGAACAGCAGCTGAAATGCGGTGCAGAGCCCGCTCCTGCTGAGCCCGGGCCGTCTTCTGGGTCTTCCGCTGCCGCGCAGGCTCCTGCCGAGGATGCTACATGTGAAGATGCGCCGGCTGAAACTCGGATGTTCAGCATGTGTTGTAAGGCTGTTGTTACTCGAAGGCGCTTATAAAAGTTAGGCAAGCAACATCTCAGGAGACATGGTTCAAATTGGTGCCCAAGTCTTCTGCTGCATCCCGGCCTTCAAATTTGTTATCTATGTAAAGAACTATAATCTTGTCGGGAGTGGTCATTGTAAGGCCTTAAGGCTTCCGTTTCACTCAGTTAATGACCTAGCTCTGTAGGAGGATGTCCCACTGGTGAATGGCTGGAAGCAGTGCTTGGCTGGCGCGAGACCATATTACTATAATGAAGAAGCTCGTACAGTGACCTGGAAGCGTCCAGCATTGCTGAACTCGGAGACTTGGCAAGACTACGCTTGGTTTTCTTAGGTCGGTAGCGAAATCAGAGAACCGAGGGTTTCAAAAGCATTTCCTGCAATCTCAGATCAACCCCTGGCACGTCGAGGGCGCAGACGTAATGGCAGCGTCAGGATGGAAGCTCTGGCACGTCTACCAGACGAACGAGAAGTTTTGGTACCATAAAGAAAGCGGGCATACGGCAGGCTATGACGTCTTCGAGCCTTTGCTCACTATTTATCTTCCGGTTTCTAGAGGCCTTTCTTTAAGAGTGTAGTTTATATAGAATAGGTGTCACGGCGTCGCAACATGTGAGGCTCCGGAGGTCGAGGCTGAGGCCGCTCGCCTGAGAGAGGCTCGACGAGCTGCCAATTTAGCTGCCGATGCAGCAGCTGCCGAAGCCAAGGCCAAGGCTGCCAGCGCTGGCACTCGCAAGAGGAAGGCCCGCTAGGCTACGATTTAATATGATCCTAACAACTACAGAAGTTACAAGATTCGCCATGGGGCTAGCTGTGCGGGCTCTTCCCATAGATGTCGTCCGTGAGCATGGCGCATGGAAAAAAAACAAGCTTGCGCTCCGGTCGGCTGTGCTCCATCGTGCCTCGGTCAGTCTTCCATGTAGCACACCCATGTCATTCACCCTCTCCGCAGGACTCCGGATGTGGCCGACTCTCTTTATCTTCGGCAGGCTCAGGGGGAGGGGGCCAGTTTAAGCACATGCACGCTGACACGATGACCATGGATATTGTGCATTGAGCTGGTTCTGTGCATCAGATTCAACAGCCACCTCCCTAAACCCTAAACCCTAAACGCCTCAATGTCTTGCGTTCCGTTCTAGCGTACTCTGCGTGACTCAGGCTATCCACACAACGGCTTCGGGCAAGCGGATGCCGCCGTGTCCTCGTAGGGTTCTCCAAGTGCTACAGATTCAGGGGACTTGACGATACGAACAGTTTTCTTTGGGTTCCTGCCTGCACATGGTTGCGGCATGAAAATCTCGAGGCGTCCTCTGTTTCTCACGCCGAGAGCTGTGGTTCAGGAGTCAGTGTTGCATTAGCAAATTCAAGCTGTGCGTGCTATGGGATCCAAATCAGGAAGCATTGAGAGCCTCGTGCCGTGATTCTGTCCATACTCATTATTGTACTTGCAGTACTGCTCACTAGACTCTCTAGTTCGAGGTTCTCCTTCGCTGGGCTGCCGGGGTGCCCGGGGTGAGACGACGGCACAGGAGTGTGCAGCCGCTGGACGATAGATCCAGCCATATTCCTCAAGTGTCATATGTGTTGCGGCAGAAAGGGCAGTAAAGGTGTTCTTCGCAGAGGCGTTTCTTCCCACATTCAGAGCAGAACTTTGCCCTCTTCGGTGGCAGGACTCTTCCGTCCACTGCCACGGAGGCTGACAAGGCGGGCTTGGAATCTGTTCTTGCAGCCGATGTTCCAGTAGGATGGGAGAAGACTTGGGCGAAGGAGTCCTCGACACACCTTCGTTGCCGTTTTGGCGTAGGTCTGTCATAGTAGCGGTCAATGGTCTCAATTGATGTCGCGGCAATGGCCGAGACGACTTGAGGAGCATGCCCAAGCTCCCTCATGAGAGTAATCCCACTTGCTTTGAAGGTGTGAGTGCCAAGCTTCCGTAAGTCCACGCCTTCCATAACATGGCCACCGCTAGATAGTCGACGTTCCCTCTCCAGCAGCATAGCCACCACAGAGATTGCCTTCAGGTAGCCTCGCTCCGAGACTGGTCGCCTCCAGTCACGCTGGCCGTGGTTCCGGCCTCGAGTCACCATGCCTGGGAAGAGGTACACCTCGCGGAGAGATAGGTCTTGTCCCTGGTACGGCCATTGCGTCTGACCAGCTCCTTTCAGAGGCTCATGATGCATCCAATCGAACAAAGCATGGGCGAAGTCTTTCGCCAGAGGGGTCGTTCTGCAAACTGTTTTGCGATTGACTTTCTGAATCCTGATCTGTGCAGGCTTGCCCAGGCTATAATCCAAGTCCCGAAACCATGACACTTGAATTTGTCGAGCGCAGTCTGCTCTTTCTGCCAGCATTGTCTGCAGCAGGGTCAGCACTGCCAGCCAGGGGTAGCCTGCACGTAGGCAAGCCTGAAAGAAGTGAGGTAGTTGTGACTCGTCCAATACCTCGCGCGGCCCTTGCTGCGTCGACTTAGCCTCAGCTTTGCAAATACGAAGGTGCGCCTCGCAACAGAACCGGAGTTCCGCGCAGTGCGACCGGACAGCCCGGCACTGAGAGGCTTTCGCTTCTGTCTTCGTCAGGCGGAGGCTTGCGCTCACGTTCTTCACATCACGAGAGCAGCGACAGTGCTTGTAAGCGCATGCTATTTTGACCGTGCTTTTGGGATCGCGTAGTGGACCTCGACGCTTCTGTGATTTTGCCATCAAGCAAGGGTGGCCACCATGCTGCAGCCGTGGTTTTCTTTGGCTTGTCCTAGTCTGTACTGGCTAGGGCTAGGATACTAGGGCATAGCGAGATTTCCTGTTGTCCGTTTTCTGGCAGTTCCGAACTAGTTTCGGTAGTAGGCGACATGGCCCGGGGAAAGTGGAAGCGGCAGCCTTGCAAAGGCACTCCGGAAGATGTCAGGCAGCATGTGACCAGCTGCAAGACAGCAGATTGTGCGTGCCAGTCTGCCGGGCATCGCCTTCCATCCCTGCAAGAAAAGTGCCAGTTGATCAGCCCCGAAGTGCTCGAGGCTCTACAAGAAGCTCCTGCCGAGACTCTAGCAAAGGCGCAGGACCTGCTGGGCGTGTCGTGGCTGAACTACGAGTTTCAAGGGGAGCCTCAGCGCATGCTGCTTGGGTGCAGTGTGTGCTCTGGCGACAAAGGAGTACAGTTTACGACTCAGCAGGCTGCCGCTGCCAATAAGCTGTCGAGGCATGGCAGTGGACCGGAGCATGTGCGGAACGTGTGCAAGTTATTGGGCTACGAGGTTCCCACCAAAGAAACAGCTGCAGTGCGATGGCCTGGGGCGGAAGTCGTTCTTCAAGTCTTCAGACAGTTGCAGGGCGATACCACGGACCGTTTTGTAGAAGGTGTGTCGGCCGAGAAGAAAACCAGTAGGATCGAATGGTGCATCGTCGAAGCCACGCGCGAGCAGTGGAGGGAATCCTTGCGAAATGCTGTGTCTATCTGCTTGTTGAGAGACGAGAGACACAAGCGTGTCTTGCTTCGATTCCGGGCGGTGGACAAGACCTTGCAAGTCACGAACGGGGTTTTGGGCCAACTAAAGGGCGACTACTCCAGCACCGCCCTCGGATTGACCGCAGCGACACTGAGGGTCATCCGGGAATTTGCGACGCCGGGTTTGGCTCGGCCTGGGATGAAGGGGGAGGAGCTGCAGCTGGAGGTGGACGAGTCCCTGGTTCAACACATTCGTGAGTGTGTGCTGTCCACCACGATTGACGCGGCCGGCAATGAGGTGGCAGCTGTTCAAGACTCGGCAGCACCGCTTGAAGTCCATTGCCAGCACTTGGCCGAGGGCGAGACGCTGTTCCCAAACCACAAGTTGATTGTGCGGGACCGTGCGCATGGGACCAGAAGGGTCCTGGAACGCCCCTGGAGGGCCGACCCCTTTCTTGATGCAGTCATGACTTCCCTGATCACTGGGTCAAGCAGTGTTACTCAGTTGATTGAGCACAGCTTCGACTTTAAACAGTGGTTTTCTGAGGCGTCCAAGGCCTCCATGACACGAGCTGTGGCCACTCCATTCCGGAATCTGCGTTCGGCTTTGCATCGTTACGAATCATTGGTGACTCCTCTCAGCCGATTCGTCCTGGATCTTGAAGCCGTGCTGGCTGTGGCTACTCGTATGGTAGGGGAGCGTGCTGGCACAAACGCAGCCCATTGCGCGGAGGCATTTCTGGATGCAATGGACAGCGAGGTGTTGCTGACAGCAGCCCTCTTAGCCGACGCGGGGGACGAGGCCCTACAGCTCATTAGATGGATGGACCAAGACGAGAACGTTGTGGATGCAGCCCGTGCAAACATTCAGGTGAAAAAATTCCTGGACTCCATCCGCCTACTCTTTAATGAGGGCAGAGTGCTGGCCATCAAAGGCCACACACAGTGCATGCTGACATGGTTGTCGTCGCCTCATGTGCTGGCCTACAACTCCAAGGTCAAAGCCCTGGGAGGTCCAACCGCTTGTCCAGTGCGGCTGCAGCAGGCTTGCCTGCGAAGGCTTCAAGTCTGGGCTGCGTTGGCAGAGGAGACGGTTAAGGCAGAATTTCCAGAGTTCGAAGCCGTGGCGGCGATGCGTGTGCTCAACGTGTGTGATCCCTGGCCTTCCCTGGATGCCCTCTCTTCCTCGGACAGCGAGAATATCCCTCCAGATGCCTGCACAGATTTGGAGCGCCTAGCTCAGTCCTTCGATTGTAACTTTGCGGCCCTCAAAGTGGAATGGATGGACTTTCGTGGGAGAGCTCGCTGGCATGCTGTGAAGTCTGGCTGCACAAATATCTGTGCATGGAAGAAGGCTATTGACGAAAGCCAGGAGCAGTGTTGGGTCAAGTCAAGTTTGTCCTAGTCAGTGTGTAGTTTGATAGGCAACATATCGTTGAAGGGTTTCCCCCACCCCAACCCCCTAGGCAAAAGTCTTCGCCGGATAAAACCTGAATTTTGCCAGGAGAGAAGAGAGACCGCCGCCCGACACCCCTGCCAGCATCTGAACGTGGTCCTCTGCGGCTATGCCAGCACGTGCATTTCGGACTCAGCCCTTGAGCGATCCTTCTCCCAAGCAGCCGCCAAGATTCCAGCCTCAGCCAGGCACCTTCACCCGCAGAAGGAAAGCCTGCGCATGTCTTTCTTGGCTTTGAAAGAAGACGATGTCCGTTCCAGGATGGAGGTGGTGGCCAATCTCTGGAAGCAGCACTTTGGCTCTAGCCGCCAGGGTGCTTTTGATCGCATAGACCAAGGCCGTGCCAAACCTACGAAAGCTGCGACCGAGGATCGAGAGTGCTACAGAGAATTTATCAAGGCCCGCAGAAAGAATGTGGCAGAAGTGGTGCAAAAAAATGCACCCGCAGAGTCCGCAAGTGTTTGTGACGGTGATGCGTGGCTGGAATCGCACCAAAAGGAGCTAGAATTCAATCGAGACAAGCGCAAAAAAAGGAAATTCGAGGCACTGTTTGCCGGAGCCCTACTCGAAGACGAGATGGATCTCACCTTCCTTCATGACGCTGCCGAGGTCAAGGCCACGACACAGAAGAATCGTCGTGCCCGGCAACGCAAAGAGCAGCGACTGCAGTCGGACATGACTGCTGGCAAAGTGCCGAGCGTGGCGGACATGCGTGACTGCCACGTGTACATGTTGGACAGAGACAGAACACCTGCCGTCGACAACTTGGCAATTGGTCTGGGTTGGACTTGGGCTGCCGATCCTTGCAGTGCGCAGATTTGCCTCACGGATTTGTCAGGTGTTCATAGCGATGGCGTT